TCGTCATGCCATTATATTATGATAATATTGATGTGTTTCAATTTCCAAGGTCGGACAAATATCTCTTCCGTCACATCCTCTTGTCGTCAAAGTGGAATGATGGCCCCAGTGGTCTCTCAAACCCTATGTTGCGCTTCGTAGACGACTTAATCTCAATCGTGCCCTTCACCGCGGATAGAGAAAGCGAGGAAATACATTCGGACGCTTGCCACCAAGCAGAGTAGTGATCCTGGGGGAAGGATTTTGCGAATTATTAGAGTTTGCCCTCATATCGTCTCTGTTGCGCTTTGGGCACTTCAATTTTCAGATAACTTCAAAGATATTGAAATACCCTCGCTTCGCCGATTTACCTTCCATGCCTACTCAAGGTCCCTTTCGTTCCTATGCCCGTTCTTCGCTTCTATCACCCATTTGGAGCTCGCAGGTCCAGATGCGGGCGAGTGGGACGCATTTTTCGACGCTGGGTTATCTGACGCCCCATCGTTAACCCATCTGGTTCTTTCCATTAAACACAATGATGAAGATTTCCAGCACTTCCTCGGGATAATCACGCCTTACATCTCTGCTCGACTGCAGCTGCTGTTGTTGCTAATGGATGAACACCATGCTGCCGGATCAGTATGGCATCCCAATTCGTACGATATTCGGCTGGTTCCTGCTTTCAGTGAAGAGCCTGACTGGGATACAACGGATCCTGTTGCCAACATCCTCGTGGTGGATGTTTTTACTGGAGGGTTTGAAGTCTGGACAGGAAATGTTCCTGAGGAAGAGACCTTTTGGGCACGTGGTATGAAAGTTGTAGAGGAGAGACGTAAAACATTAACATATACCGAAACAAAAGTAGACTAAATGGAAACGTGGGGCAAATATTCCCGTGCACGTGATCGTGTGGATAGTCGGAAGTTTTTTTCTGGGCGGCTACTTGCACCGTAACTTGCTTGTTAACGAACCACGACCACTATGCTCTGACATTTCCTCCAAGATTTTACAGTAAGTCCTCTGTTCCCATTAGCTTAAAGGATGTACAACGCTGCCGCCCCAATCATACCAAACCGTGGTGATACTGCAGTTTTTAATGCCAAACATGTCTTCATTTATCTGAACCCTTTCTCTTCTTGTCGCTCTTGCTTCTGCTATACAGTGATACTAATGCAACCCATTTAGTAGCATCGTCTAACCTGTTTGCTTGTGATGCCATTGATATCCTGAGTAAGTCCCATCTCACTGGCCAGATATTGCAGCATTTCCATCTCCAGGATGATGAAAAGTTATTAGCTCTATCAGAACAATAATGACGACGAGTTAACCATTCGCTTTTACCATCTGATCTTTTTTTAAAATTCTTTTTGAGAATCTGTTTCTGTTGCTGTTTTGCTGACTCGAACACCCCAAGATGTATCTGGTTTGACTACAATTCCATTGGACATACGCGGCGCACACTGCAGTTAAAATCGGGGGACCCTGTTCAATAGAGAAATACACCTTTTCGGGTGTGGATGATGGGTAGAGAGGGACGACCGGGAAACATGACCATTTCTTGATTCTTTTTGCTCTACCGTGAGTTTGCTTTTCATTCTTTGTCTCCACCTTTTGGCCCAAGTGATGAGTAACAAATTCTGTAACACCACTTTCTGTCATAGCTCTTTGGAGCGAGGACTGTCAGCATACATCGTTGCCTGACCTTGTTTCGTCATTTTTCTTTTGGTTTCCGATACAATTGCTGACCATTCCCCTCCGTGCAGGTAGCTGAAGCTGTTTTTCGAAGTTCCCAGTTTTGCTACTGAGTTATCGAAAGAGGTGGGTTTTCTTCTTTTACCAAGCTCAAATGATGAGCAATATGTATAATCCTAGTTATTCAGAGCTTTCCTAAAGGGGAGCATTGTTGACTATTCCAATGCTAATGCTGAACTCAATCCTCTATTTTTTTGGGCGACCAACCTAATCATTTTTCAAGGTTACCCTATTTGCTATGACATGTTGAGCTACATGGCGGTAAGCGGTCATCTTAGCATCTATGTTGTCTACTGGTAGTTTCAAATGAGCATATTTGCATATTATTTAATCTTGGTCCGATATGGTTTAAGAACGTCCGTTCTCAAAAAGGTCAGAGGCGAGCAGAATGCCCTCCAAACCTTTGTAGAATATATTTGGTCAAAATAACGCCTAGGTTTGATCAGTAAACTCGCCCACCGAACCACAAGAGATCTTACCAAGTTCATTGGGTTTTTCATGTGGTACCTTAAGTGTATCAGACTTCTCTGTTATATCTTCATAAACGATTCATTCTTACCAGATGACCTGCACCGGAAACCCGAACATGAGAAGAGTTTTCGGGTCTCGAAGCCATACTAAGGCCTGGGGATCCTCAACACTACCTCCACTAAAGATAGTTAGTAGATAACATATAAACAAAGGACGGATTTAACAAACACGGAGACAAGTCCTTGGCCTGGCATAATAAAAAAGAGGTCGATAGAAGTATCGAGAGTTTGTAGGAGATGCCAGACAATGTACTTTGTCTCGACCTCCTGTGAAAGACACTGCTTCGAAGATAGGAGGCATTTTGAGACGGAATTTCGCCATTCATTTCGTATAAGCAATGGGCTATATACGTATCGAGAACATCTGGGTCCCATGCTTTAAAGAAAGAGCTCTTTAAAAACAACTGTCGCGCTTCTTCTCTAGAAGGCACATGATAAGAATAAAGGTCCTCCAGAGGGACGACTAACCGATTTTTCCAAGAACTTTTGCGGTTTAGAGCACCATTGACATACGACCCAATGGCAAGTGGTAGCGCAAAATCTGGAATACGTGGGCAATGTAAGATAGGATCTATCAATGTTAACGACGAAAAGAGGCGAGGAAAGTGAATGGCTGCGAGTGCCGAAGTTGTTCCCCCAAGGGAATGTCCGATACTCACAACACGTCGAGAAGGCGGGAGCCCTACCGTCATACGGGAATCGATTTCTGTCTCGGAGACGACACGAAAGGGCAAGAGGCAGATGTTGTTCTTGAGGCGACGACGGCAAGTAATGTGTGAGGAAATGAACAATATCTCTCGCATGGTCTGTCCAATCATCTAAGGATAATATTGAGCTTCTTAGCGACAAATCTATGCCATTCTCTCACATGTACCAGCTGTTTGAAGGGCATTGAAATTGAGGACAGCTGAATCGCCATGATTTACGGCTTCAAAACACCAAATTTCCGCTACTCTTTCACGCAGTTCGTGTGATTGAAGTAAAGAGATAATAGGTAGGTTCCCATATTTCTTTTGAGAAGCCGTTTGCGTGAGCGAAGAAGAGTGTCAGATTCCCTTTGCTGGACTGAGAGCTTCGTACGAAGCGATTGATACAGTGCCAAAGTACGCGAGGGTAAGAGGGAAGTGGCTGCCCAGACCTATAATGGCGAACATGGCTTTGCGTGTAGCTTTCTCGCATGTCGTACAGAGCTTGCTTCACTTGTTCGAGGTGTTTGGAACGACCGGCTTTATCGAGGTCTACTTCCGGCGGTTCCGGGAGCGTGTGTGGAGGTGTACTCCGAAGAAAAGAGGCCGGGGTGAGATGAGTAGAGAGCCGAAAGCCCAGATTCACGAGGGAATTCATTTCTGAAGTGTTTGAACGAGTAGGGATAGATGGCTGAGGAGGGACTAGGAGAGACTTTGGTGGCGAATTTATCGGAAGAAAAGGTCGAGGATATACAGTATCCTCAGTTGGCAAGGAGTCTGGACGCGGAAATTGTGTTGGGTATGGGTCATCCATGGTCGGCCAAATCAAAGGTCGATTTCAGCTTATGTTACCACTGTGACATCTCACTTTATTTGTTACCACCACCTTCCATAGCTGCTCCGAAAGTGCTATCCCTGAAAGATAGTATTACACCACTTAAGGGGCAGGGAGATTCAACTTGTGTAAACTTTCTTACAAATTAGGAACTTTTATTGACTTTTTTTTGGGTGGGCGAGGGGGTTAAAGCCATCTTTTCCTCCATGCATTTCCTTTCTAAAGAAGAGATGGTAATGTCTTGCGGTTAGAATTGACCCAAATAAACCTTGAAATACTTGCGTTCGATTCGGACGCGACTCTGGCATGTATGAATTCGTTTGACGCCTCTCACTTCTCTCCCGAGTTTTCAGCCCCTCGTTTCCTCTGCTGCCACGACAAGACTACACAGAGTATTTATTATGCCCATGTTTGGTCGAACCATACCTTTCGCTTTCTCCCACTACAATGCCCTCACATTTCCAGCTCATGTTCTTGATCGTCATTTTTAGGTTCTTTGGAGAATGTATCTCCCTTGAGGTACCAAACCAACATTTACCTATTACACATCAGGCAGACACCCCAGACGCTCGTAACGTAACCAAATGCATGGTCGACTGCCTCACTGTCCGCACCGTATTTATCCTTCCATTCGTAAGCTAATTATTGTCAGTTGACCGCGTTGAGGAACAGCTGTGAATATGGCCTTGACTTTGACTTCGACTCGCACGAGTTTACGTGCATGTGTCAGAAACCTAATGCATTGCAAGATATGTCGATGTGCTTGACAGAGAATTGTCCAAACGAGGACGAGAAAACAACGGATGGTCTAAAGCGTGATTTCTGTACTCGCTGTGAAATATTTCCCCTTTCTATAGATTTTAACTAATACAATACCGGTTAGCTGAACGGGTGGATGCCGAGCATGTCCACCTGAACGACCCCTCTCATCCAGAGTTAACCGAATCTTTGGGGTTTGTCAAATCACAAGAGATCCTTCAAAGCCCATTCGCCACCTCAGCTATCGCCACTTCTGGAACCGATGTTCAACATTCCAGTCCTTCTACTCTGTCTGAACTACCTAGTTTCACTTCAGCTGCGTGGAAGAACGATCAGATCTTCCTCATTGTAGCCATCAACGTGATTATTTCGTCTCTTTTGATCAGATTTCTTCATTACTGTCGTTACTACTAGACAATGTGCCATTTTATACCTGATAGACTGGCAAAACAAAAACGATGCGTGAACCGAGAATCGAACTCGGGGCCTAAGTATTTTCTGGGTAATCCCAGCCACTTAGTGGGAAACTTAGATGTTACCATTACACCATCCACGCTATCTTGGAATGAAGGACAATAGAAAGCATATAGATTCATCTGCATTTGATATGGATGTATAGCGATAGTATTTCAATTTCTTGTGAAGTATCTCATCGATCTTTGAGAGAGCTCATAGTCCTTCCTAGCCTAAATGAAGCCTTTCAAGGCCGCAGTGCGATGGTTCGCCTTTCACCCTGTCCCCTTTCCAGCAGGGCTACTTCCGAGACAGATCGCACAGGATGCAAGAACGTTCTGCCAGTATGAGTCTTACTACGTCGGTGGCGGACGCAGTTATGCCAAAATTGTGCTCCAAGACCCATATTCAGAACGGATTACCACTTTCATGTCTTACGATCGAACCCCTCAAAGCTATAAAAGCGCCACGGCTTTTACTCAAATCTTGCAGCCTCTTATCATCTTCAGCTCCCAAACACAACCCAATAACTCAAAGTTTCAGCACTGTCATGTGGTTCTCACGCGACTCCGAGCCAGCCAACGCTTACGACCAAGTCGTCAATGCCCCCCATAAAGCGGCGTTGTCTCATGAGCTTATCTCGGCTGCAGCCTCTTACGAGGTACGAGGCCTCACTTGATTCATCTCGTCACCATCGTTCATAGGGAACTGTCCAGGCTGCGAAGGCGTATGAGGAGCACTGTGCAAAGAACGGCAAACCTGATTCGCATGCCCAAGCCAAGGAACTTCTGTATGTGATCACTACTCCTAGTATTCATCAAGGAATTGCTCAATGCTTATAGGGCTGGATTTGCTGGTGCGTTCATCGATCGCATTGTGGAGACCAAAGGGGTGAGCTTTTCGTCGTCAGCGAGTTTGATAGCGACCAATGTTCTGACTTCTGCCAGCTCGATTATGTTGACCGCGAGCAAGCTAAGCACAAGGGTAAATTTTCATCGTCCCTCATCAAATAGTTCTAGCTTACCGAACGTCCAGCTAAACAACATGCTCATGAAGCCTTGAACGACTCTGGGGAATATTAGACAGGACAATTCGGACTTGCGATTGAACAGCATGAATAGCCAGTGTAAAAGTTAATGCCATTTTGTTGATATCGACTCTGCAACCCTTTTTTAAACCACCTACATTTGTTTACCAAATCGTATGCGAGAGAACACGTTCGCCGACTGTTTCTCCAAAATACTCGTGGGCATAAGCTTGAGGAGCCACATGAGGAAAACATAGAACAGTGACGATCTGAACTTAGACACTTACAAGATGGGTGGTAATCATTACCCCAGAAGTTCGATCTAAAGAAGGAACGTTACTTCAGCTGACGTCCTATTATGGTCGCAAATTGAACGCACGGGTCGCTACCATACGCTGTCTCATTTGTAGTAAATCCATAAGCAGCAAGGTTCTTCAAGATTCTGGTAAAGTCTGCCCAAGAGTCATAGTACCAGCTCTCAACACCTGTCGAATCGACATCATTTTCTGACCGTTATAACAGACATTCATAATCACTAACCTTTATGGGAATACTCAAAACCTTTTATTTTAGCCTGGAGTTTTTTGTTAAAAGTCTTGATAATGTTCCCCTCAGTGGTCCGGGACGCTTCGTCGGCATTGAGAATCATGTAAGGCGAGCGATCGATCGGAGGGACAGCAACGAAGAGGAAGTTCCGGCCACCAGTTTGGCTATTGGTACTATAAGTTCCCATAATCGATAGTTCCTACAAAGTTCTTACTACTGTAAAAGGCAGTGGTTTAATACGGGGCGATCAAGGGGCATGGAAAGGAACATACAAGGCGTTCAATTTGCCCAAAATATGCATCTAAGAGGACGTCAGAGAATCTAAGCAAAGGAAAAATTCATCAATTGTAGGGATATTTAATGACTAGTTACTCACGCATCACGATCGCCTTCTTGGTACCAGCTGTTCCCGATGTCATTTATGCCAATCCAGACACTGAATAAGGCATTTTTGCTAGTCCAAGGACTTGTCGCTGGCTTTTTCGCAGCTGTAGCCACATAATCGTTTACCTGGTCGATCAGGGAATGAACAGTGGGCAGGTAAGGCGGGACAAGGGTAGCATTGATGGTTGCGCCGCCATATGCAAAGTTATATGTCAAGAGGAGAGAGCTGTAAAAAAAAATGAAAATCAACCAGCCTTCGAATCGCGATCGAACGAACTTGTTATATTTAGTAGTCACCAAGTCCACCCAGCCTTCACCACCAGTTGCCGTCCAGCCTGGATAAGGAGGATTTCCAAGCGGGTTACCAACAGTAGGAAGTTCACCGTAGGGATCGAACCACGTTGCGGTGTAGGAGTCGCCGCTACATTATACTATACATCAGGATCATTTAGTGACTGAATACTTCAAAACACGTACAAGCTGAACCAATAATTCACATCTTTTGCATGACCAAGCTGAGCTGAGGAAACACAGGTAACAAGCGCAACGAGAGGGAGCAGGGATAGCATGTTAAAAATCTCCAGCGGCACAAAATCGAGGAGGCGGGGACAAGACATTTAAGACTGCTCGTCAACCTCGGAAAAACGAGCCGACGCAAGAACTCATTAGCATGAGAATTCTCCGTCAATTCTGCCGCATCAGGACCCAATGCGCTGAACGCTACGAATTGTCGGAGGTGGCGTGCTGGAGGAACCTGTACCGTCAAAACATGACTTGCACGAGATATTTCTCGAAGTTCGAGGTCCTCAAAATAAACTGAGAAGGTTTCAAGCTTGCTTTAAGTAATTGAGGCAAAGGAAGGTGCGTAAAAGTAACAGGTTCGTAAACGACGATGGCTGTTCGGACGCAAAGTTGGTTGAAGAAAGACGCCCGGGTGACCTGCTGAACTGAGTCCCCAATTGCTAATATTGAACAAATCCCAATAAACAAGACGAAAAAACAATTACATAGGAATACAACAGGAGAGACAACATCAATAATTTATGCTGTCTGTTCGAGAGCATGACCTGCAGCCTCATCAGATTCGTCCTCGTCTTCCCACTCCTCCCAACCCTCGTCCACCTCAACAAGCTCCAAGTAGCTTTCTGGAACGAGAGCATGCTTTTCTCCTTCCTCTTCTCCCTCCTCTAAATCGCCTTCATTCTCAGATTCTTCAACCACACAAACCACCCACCCAGGCCCTCCACCTCTCCCAACAACTCTGATGATCTGACCCTCAGCCAAAGCCATTTCAGAGGAACCAGGCTCAGGATCAAAAGAGTACAGTGATCGATAAAGTCCAGGATACAGTGGTTCCTCTTCGGCCAACAGCCCGCCCTCGTCATCGTCATCCTCGTCCCCTTGCACATCATCGGAGTCTGACTCCGGGAAGTGTTGATCCGTCGCTGGAAAATGTTGTAAGAATAGAGTCCCAAGTATTGAAAAAAGATTATACCTCGTTCATCTACATCTCTCTTCAAAGCCCAGCTCCAGCTTCCCCACTTGAAACCGGGAATATCAAACCCTTCCACACCGAGCTTGGACCCAGCGGTATCTTCTCCTGTCCTCAAATGATGTGGTGGTCCGCCATCTTCTTCCGTCTCGAACTTGAATCTAGATGATGTAGTTGAAGACGCGGTGGTTATGGCAGACATAACGGAAGCGCGATGATTAGTGTAGAGTGGTTTATTGAGAGTTCGGAGACGGTTGGGTTTTGGACAATCAAGTCCAAGGCCTTTGCTCCGGTCATCATCTCCTGAATAAGCAAAATCGTGCACTATTGTCCAGTCAGCAAAGGTGTCCTAGACAATGCACAGGCACACAAACCAATGATTGGGTTCCACTTAATTTTACCCTTGCCAGTTGTTAGAGAAGGTGAAAATGGTGTAGGAACTGGAGGAAAAAGCATAAGGTCCAAGTCAACAAAACCTGTAACAAACACATACGCGACGTAGTTATGTCACTTGGCCGAGATTTGACTCGAATAGTTCCAGAATTGCCTTCTGTCCGCTCATTAGCATCGTTGGGGTCTACTTGTTCCCCTAATCGACTCGTTCTGCGCTCGGGCCTGGTCATACTCCTTTTTTTGCTCAGTCGGCTTGAGTTGCTCGCACTTCGTTTAACTCCCTCTCCGCCGCCGCCGAAGACAAAATAAGACCCAGGACCAGAAACAGGGCTCGACGCTGACTCTATCACCTGGAGTCGAGGGAGTGGTCCCGCTCTGCCTTCTGGATAAGGCGGGGGATGCAGGGGCTGGTCGATTAGAGTGCAAGGAGCTGGTCGAATCGCTGCGGAAATGTGTGCCCATTCGGGTTGGTGTCGTTGGCAGTTTGGAACTTGACGAAGAAGCATTTGAAACCTGAGATAATCGTTTACTGGAAGGCCAATTTTGTGGAGATGATGGAGATGCAGGGCCTGTGAATCCGGTCGACGGAGAAAAAGCCGACGGTGGCGAAGATGGTGGGTTTGGCGCGCTCAGCCGCTTTTCGTTGATAGGCGTCATCGTCGAGGGCACCTGTGCACTCAACCGTTTTAGTGCCATCGAAGTTGCAGGAGACACTGGCATGCTGGCAGTTCCGAAACCAGAGCCAGTTTTGTTGACAGGGGTAGGCAGTTGTGGAAATGCAGCAGTCGGTGTCGCGTTGGATGATATGGCGGAGTTCGGCTGAGAGTCTGTGCTGACAGGAGAATTTCCGAGAGGTGGGGGTGGGGAAACTATAGATGTTGTCGTCAAGATGCTTGGTGAGGTGGTAGAAGCGGTTGGGGCCGTAGGAGTTACGGGACTAGGTAAAGGACTCTTGCCATTCGCTGCCAGAGCCCCGTTAACTTCACTTCCTCTCCTATCCCCGCCGACCATAGACGTCTGTCGACTCCTCCGACCTTTAGGTGCCCTTTTGATGGCAAACTCTTCCTGACCGACAACAGGAGGGGGAAGAAATGTACTTGATGGGGAAGGACTATTCACAGATTTAAGCATTAACACCATTCTGGTAGAGAAGAAAGGCTTACAAATTGGACGAAGCACCCTGGCCAAAAGCCTCAACTGTGAGAGGCCGTACAACATGAGCAGCGAAAGGATGGAGGGTAGAATCTGCATCTGAACCATT